TCATTTTTATTGTTAGCTTTGTTTAAAAAAAAAAAAAAAAGTGTTACTTAGTACAGCTTCTAATCTTCCCCTCACTCTCAACCACTGGTCTTACTTCTCTCTTCCTACAGCACTGTTTCTGGACTAAAACAATGTATTATTAACTCCTCAAAATAAGCACTGTGAATACTCCATCTTCACATGATAGTTGTCCTCTTCTTAAGGTCAATCGTTATACCCATACCTATTCCTTATGTAACCTGGTTTTCAAATCCTTGATATACTACTGCATGCTAGTATTTAGAAGCATCTGAGTTTTTCAATATCATTGTTAAAGTACATCTATCCAAAGCAGATAAACTATGCCATGTTTTATTTGGCCAGCAAATACTTAAAGAAGCTATTGCATCCTTTCACCTGAGTACCCCATAAATTTGAATCCATGACATTATGAACTATGCTGAGATTTTTTTTATCATCTACATTATTACAGCAGTTCTTACTAAATCTTTTTACTTATGTAAACTGCTGGCAAGCCAGATTCTCAGCAATTTTTTTCAACTCCTTTTAAAAACTTAATGTAGAATTTTTAATTAACGTCCCTAATCATCTTGTTTATTTCTATATCAGATTTTAGCCTTCAGATATATTTCTGAACCTAAAGTATTTGTTATTCTTCCAGTGTTAGGTCTTCTTTATGTTAAGCATGTCATTTTTCCTCCATCTAAATCACTGAGTAAATAAATGTTCAATAGAATGAGGTCAAAGAAAGTATTTTTCTTTCTTTAGGGAACTATAATTCTGTTCTTATGGTCATAGTTCTTCAAAACCAGTTTCTCTCTCATGGATTCCCCCCATTTCCCATTTCTATGGCACATGTAACTGATCAGTTGTTTATCAGGCGTATAAGACTTTTAGAGTTCAAAGGGACTTTCCAGGGTCATATGGTCTTGCCCAACTCTTTCATTTATAAATAAGGTATAGGAAATCCGGAAAGTTTAGTAATGTACCCTTGGCCACATGGCTAATAACTGGTATATGGAAGCAGAACTAAGGAATTCTAAATACGAATATATGGTGTTCTTTCCATTACAGGTCTTAATTTCAATTTTTGTATTATCTGTTCATCTACATGAAATAAGATAAATTATTGGTTTTGATTATTCTGTTTTATCTAAAACATTGTGCATTTTTTGTTTTAAAGGGTATCACACAAGGAGCAGATATACTGTTTCCTCTATTTTTTAAGTACATTCAGGGAATAGGTGGGTGAATAGCCTGTCTCTACTTTTAAGCTGCAAAGCATAATAAATACAAATGTGGACTTGCTGAAGATAGTGAGAAAAGGCATATTTTGGTTACGAATCTTGAATCCTGATCCTGAGCCGACTAATGCACATAGGATTAACCATCAACTAACTTTCTAAAACTCAAGAGAGAGAATAATTTTATCATTATATTGATGACATATATTGAATCACTTTTACACCCTTTCTGGTTGATTTGTCATCAACATTATTTATGACCAAATTTATATATGAAATCCACTGTATTATTAACAATAAATAACCACCACCATCTACCTCCCCAAAAGAGTGTTAAGTTCTGTGAGAGTTAGTATTAGTGTTCATTGTATGTTTTTTGCCTGGCTTGCAGTAGGCTCTCAATAAAAATATGCTGCAAAACAAATTAATTAATTAATAAGCTCTTTAAAAAGAAAACCCAAAAAGCAGATCTAAAAATTTTATAACTCCCCAAAGAGTAAACAAGAGATACAGTCCAGGATTCACTTGGCCACCAGAGTTAACTAAAGAAACAAAGGAGTCCTAATATTACAATTACTACATTCTTTTTCAATAAAGTGCTTGCTCCTTTTCCATTTCACATTCCCCAGAAATTGATAGGTAACTCATTGTTTCCTTAGACTCCTTATACATAAGACTTCTACAACAATTCTTTTGTTCATTTTTCAAAAAACACCAAGAAAATGTTGAGACCAAATCAACTTCACTGTATAAGATTATAAAAAGTTCATCAGCAGATAGAAAGATTAGGCTCTTGTAAGTTAGTATTACTTTATGACCTGAACTCAAAAACAAGCCAAAGAATTCATTATTTTCTTTCAATGTTTTCATTTTCTTTGTACTCAGCTGCTCTCAAAACTCATTTCAAACTATCAAATCTCATATCTACCAAAACATCAATTTCTAGCAATCCTTCACTGATTAAATCAAAACATTCTCTTTGCTGGTGCCTGTATTGAATGTCATCTACATTGTTCTTCTAAGAGGTAAGTAAAAAGTACTAAAACAATATCATGTTAATTCAAATGTTGAAGATCATTTTAAAATCATGTTGAGATTAAAGGAATTTGCTCACCTAATCCTCTTATCATGTTAATATATTTACGATTTATTTAATTCACTTCAACTGTCTGTGCTAAGTTCAAAGTTACTGAATTAGAACTTTATCAAACTCAAATCATTTATTTCTATCCATTTCTTATTTGTTATTTAAATATTGATACTAAAACATTTAAAAACTATTTTACTTATCAAGTCAAAACTAATATTATTTGATGTATCAAACCATTTAGCTTATGTTTCATCAACATAAAGCACCAGCCTATATAAACTCACCAGGTTCTCTCCCTACAGTTTTAATTACAAAAGTGAAAAATCTAATTCAAAAACTACAAGAAAACTATGGATTTAAGAAACAGATTAACTTACTGAAAAAATCTTTAAAGGCGTTTAACAAATCCATGTTGAATAAAAATCCTGTGTTTTCTTTTGTCAGGTTTGTCAGCACAGCTCAGGATAATTCCCAGTGAGCTTCCTGGTCTGTTCTGCAACACTGAAACTCCCCACACCCAGTCCATGTGACCTGGCCCACACCCAAGCAATAAAAAGTTTTTTTGAGGCTTCTCTCTTTCCAAAACTTTTTTTACCCCCAATATAAGGGAACCTGTAAAACAAGTATAGCATAAGGCCACAAATCTGACCTTATTATTCAGAATTATTTTGAAGAAGCTTTAAAGCATATATATTCTCAATAGCTGAAAATATATTTATGTATTCATTTTTTCCTTTGTTTTCTCCTTTTTTTTCTTAACTTTCAAACAATGTCTCCATCAGCACAATCATTATGAAACAAATCCTTTAATTATACGGGACATTTAAGTTACCAAAAAAGGGTTCAGAAATTCTGAGAAAGGCGAGAAGGCTGTCTGATGGAAAAGCTGGATTTATATCATTATACAGACTACATCGCTAACTTAAAATAACTTTCCCAAGTACCCTGGAATGTAGACAGCAGTAACTGTAACACAGAAATAAAGTTAACAGAGATATCCTAGGACTCAATAATATCAGAAAATGCTATGGAAGATTTTGTGCAAGTATTAACAAATAATAAAAATTTTATCTAATTGGGCTTTTAAAATTTATATGTGGTAATATATAAAACTGGGATATTCTTCCTTTCTGCTCTATATTAGTTTTTTCACTATCTTTTGTTAATTACTGTCGCATTTGCTCTAGTCCCAGGATACCAGCATCCTTATAAAAAGGAACAGAAAAGTGTTATCTAGGTGCGTTCCTAGTCCTTTCTGTGCCTTCATCATTGTGAAGCATACTTTCTTGATAGAAGTTACCTTAATTTTCCTCAATACCTCTACTCAACATGCTTTGAATAAATGTCCAGTATTTACAAAATAAGAAGTATTCCTGGTTCTAACTCTGGTCATTTCAGCTATTTAAGGAAAATCTTTCTGATTTGTCTTACATTTAAAAACTAATAATAACAGTCTTAATTGCAAAAACCTTAAAATCTCAAAAAAAAAAGTACATACAAAAATTAACTGTCATGGCAAAAATTCAGAGTAATAACTTAATTTATTAAATTACCTTTAGAATACTGGAAATGTTTTTAGCTCAGAAACCAATATTCCCATACTTTATACTCTACTTTTAATTGAACTATATTTTAATTTTTACTATCTTACAATGGTTAAAAACATAAGAGATTTGTCTTCTACTGCTGACAATTGAAAGAACACTCTAGTCTAGAATGACAATGATGTTGAATAAAAAATCAAAACTAATGTAAAGCAGTTAGTCAATAATATATTTGTCAGTCATGCCACATTACTCCCAAACTATCTCCACAAAGAGCAATTTTACTTTCTCTTCTACATATTTGCAAAGAACCATTAAGTAATAGAATGCTTGCATGCTTGCCTAAATACAAAAAACATGAAGTTCTGTCCCTCCCAATTCCTTCCTGTCAACCAGGGAGAGTTTAATTTAAAAAAAAAAAGAAAAAAAGAAAAAAAAAAAGAGGCTAGTCCTCATCTGTGCATATTTCCTTCCTATCAGCTCTGCCAAGGCAAGAGTGAAGCAGATTCCACTATCTCTGACCCTAATGGAGTGCCAGTAAAAACAAACTTTACAGTTAGAGGAAGGAGAAAAAAAAGAAAATACGAGAGATCAGTATTACAGTAACAATCCACAATTTAAAATTGTTTTATCCAATATAAGAAGAAAACAATTTGTTTTTAAAAGTGAAGTTCAAAATGTAAGCCATTAGATGTTAAAGCAATGTGCCATGCAAAATAAATTGCCTTAATGACAAGAAGGCAATTCTTCATCTCACTAATTTATCCCTGTCTCAGTTAGATGCAGAATTTGCCTAACATCCAACAGTCACTCATGGTTCAAGGAGCCCCTGATCAGAGTTATTTCTGCTCCTTAGCACGACTCTGGCTTGATACTTGAATTCCAATCAGATCCACTGGCTAGATTTATAGAAACTGCCCATTAACATATGAGACCTTTACTGGTCTCCTGACTTGAAAACCTGCTACAATCCAAACTTACCTTGTCTAGCTGAAATTCCAGTCCTGGCCTTTTCTAGTCAATTCTGCCCGCTGCTCCCAAAATTCTGTACAAAGAACCAAGCTCTAGTATCTACTTAAAAGAAAGTAGTATTGTTGCTGTTTTAACACAAAAATAACTTACCTAAAGTATCCTTTAGGTTTTTTACAATAGATGCTTTTCGAGCACTGTTTTTCCTTTCCACATAATTAGAAGGCACAAAACCTGTTTTATTCAGGGAATTTCGAACTCGCCACCAAGACTTAGAATCATCCAGAAGCCATAATCTCTCATTCTTCTTGATGTCCAGTTCTTGTTCTTGTTGGGCCACATAATCAAATTTGGCTACTACCACCACTTCTTCTGCCATCTTTCAGCAGCTTCAGCACTATAACCACATAGAAAATAGTTTTATAAGGTTTACATAGTGGTAGTCTACATACTTTTTAAAAGAGATACACCTAAAAACCTAAGACCACTGAAAGGTTAAAAGTAAAAATATGGAAAAAATATAAATACCAGGTAAATTCTAATCAAAACACAACTGGTGTAGCTATATTAATAATGCACAAAAGAACTTTAAGGCAAAACCATCACTAGTGACAAAGAAGTTCCCTGCACAATAATAAAAAGGTTTTATTCAATATATATAACACCTAAACTTATATGTACCTATAACATAGCTCCAAAATAGATTGATAAGACTATAAGGAAAAATGGACGACTCTATTGTTGCAGAGGACAATTTCTAACATATTTATCTCAGTAATAAATCAAGGAGACAAAAAAGTTAGTAAAGCTAGAAAAGAACTGACATCACAACCATTTAGTTTGATTAATAAACATATAAAAATATTACTTCCAAACAGAATACAAACAAAACATATACAAAAATTGATCAAACGCTAGGTCATAAAGGAAGTCTCAACAATTTTCGTGTACTTAGTATCTGACAACCATAGTGTCTGACAACCATAACAATAAGATAGCTTTTAAAAAACCTCATATGTTTGGAAACTTCTAAAAACTCACGAGTCAAAAAAGAAATAGTAATATTTCAAAAATACTTAGAAAATAATAAAGACTATACTGCCAACCTGTGGGATGCAGCAGAAGGAGTATGTGGAGGAAGATTCTTAGTTTTAAATAGCTACATCAGAAAAATAAGAAAAGCTAAAAATAAATTAATGAACTGCACATGTGCCTTAAGCAGTCAGAAAAGCAGAATATAAAGAAAGTAGATAAAAAGGAATACAAATAAAAAGCAGAATTTAATGAATAAAATAAACATATAGAAGACTCAACAAAACAAAAAGGTAGTTCTTTGTCATAACTAACAAAATGGACATAGTTCTGGCAAGAATGAGCATTAAAAAAGAGAAAAGCACATCCAAATACCAGGAATAGAAGGGAGTCATAATTATAGATATAGACAGTCAAAAGACATGGCAATATCATAAACTTTATCAATAAATCTGAAAACAAGTAAAACATATAAATTTATAGAAAATAAAAACAAAAGTAGTAAAATTAAATCAGTCATTAAGAAATCTTCCCATGATGGTTTTATAGGCAAGTTCTATTAAAATTCAAGGAACAAATAATTCCAATTTATACAAACTCTTAAAACAAAGGAAAATTACAAACCTAATAACTCTCTCTTGAACCTAAGTCAGCTGTTTTCTATAGAGATTATTTTACATAAACAGCTACTCCTGGTTTAGCAAGCTAATAAATACCGGCCTTTGGTTTTGCATATTGGATTCTTTTTTCTCAACAATGAAGCAAGTTCTTCAACGTTCTCAGGGAAATGCTTTTAAATCTAGAATTCAACATTCACTAGCATTCAAGTGTAGACAGTTTTGTATCTACAAGGTAGATACTTTTTTGGAGGCAGTGCAAGGACCCCAAAACTACCATACATACAGCAGCAAAATAACTCATAATGCTAAAAAAGGACGATGATGTGGTAATCATGAAATAATGATAAACAGAGAAAACCAGAAAAATTAACTTGTATCTTTACAACTTTCCTGTTTGAAATTACTTCCAAATAAAAAGTTATAACCATGTCTAAATAATTGCTGGTATATGATATAAAAAATTACAACAATGAGTGATAGACTTTTTGAGACACTAGTAAACAAAGAGATTTTTTTCAGGGATATTTGGGCACTGATTCAGATTCCTTCCCTGTGGGGACACCCCTGTCCCCATAATTAAAATATAAATTTAATGAAATTTAATCCAAGGTCCCAATGAAATTTATTCTGAAACTTGAAGAACTGATTTTAAAATTTACCTAGAAAACTAAACATAAAACTGGCAAATATTTTAGAAAAAATAAGTTGGTATAACGACACTATAGGTTGTATGCCCAGCATTCATTTTCTCTTTTCCTAACAATATCCCTGCTATGCTTCTACTTGCCACTTCAATATTATTTTAGCCATGCAACTTAGGGGATAGACTCTAGCTTCACAAAGGTGTATTTGGGTTAATCAAAAGCCCTCTCTGCATATTAGAATCACTTACAGAGCTTTTTAGAGACTAATCAGTCTGGAGTGTCACCTAGGCATTAGTATTTTTAAAAGCTACCCAAGTGATTCCAATGTACAGCCAGGATTGAGAACACATCTAAACAAATCATGACAATCTCTCCCTTGCTAGATACGTCCACATTAACTCACGTAAGGGAACTTTAGGGAAAAGTTGACTGGCTTTTGAGAAATATAGTAAAAGCCTCTGTACAGTAGTCTCCTCTTATCCACAGGGGATTATGTTCCAAGACCCTCAGAGGATGCCTGAAACCATGGATAGTACTGAACACTATATACACTATGTTTTTTCTTATACATACAACGCTATGATAAAGTTTATTCTTGTGCGTTGAGGCCATTTAAGAAAATAAGGGTTACTTGAATGCAATCACTATGATACTGCAACAGTTTATCTCATAACCGAGACAGCTTCTAAGTGACTAACAGGCAAAGTAGTGGATACAGAGGACAAAGGGATGATTCACAAAAGTGACAGTGTGAGAAGGTGCGGGATTTCACCACACTATTCAGAACAGCACACAATTTAAAACTTATGAATTGTTTATCTCTGGAATTTTCCACTTAATCTTTTCAAACTGCAGTTGACCATGGGTAACTGAAATTGTGGAAAATGAAACCATGGATAAGGGAAGACTACTGTATTTTGTCATGGACAGATGTGAGGCCTAGAACTACTGCAGCCATCCTGTCATCAGCTGGAGAATGAAGATGACAAGCAAGAGAAAGGACAGCTGCTAAAATAAGCACTGAAAACTGCCCTCTTAAAACCTCCAGTTCCTTGAGCTAATAAATTTATTATGTTAAGACAGTTTTTTTATTTTCTAGCTGAAAGTTCCCACTATAGGCAAACATACCCTATCAGATATCAAAATGCACTAAAATGTTAAGGCAATTTAAAATAATATGATATTGGTGCAAAATCAAATAGACCAGTAAATAGAGATTGAGGTTCAGAAACAAACACACATAGGTGGCTTTAGAAGCCCCCTTCTCTAATGTACTAGCTATGCATTCTAGTTTAGGTCTTTTTAAGGTAGACAGAATACTTCAAAGCACTTATTACAAATGGATTTTTGTGTATTTTCCTCCAAAGATTTACAGTGGTCTCATCTATACCTAATGCAAAAGCAAGTAATTTTTTAAAGCGACCTCCTTTGATTAAGTCTTTCCAAAGCAATCAACTTAGTTTTCATAAAACAACTTTCTTTTAGCACAATTTTTATTTATATAAAATATATAAAATTATAGTAGAAAGCACACCTGAAAGAAACAGTACATCTAACTCTTGGTAAGTAGACTGAATTGAATCTTGGTAAGAGTAGAAATATATCAAGGGTATCAAGTTTTATGTTTCATATGTAAAGGTTTAGTTAATCAGATAAGTCAAGTTAACTAAACTTCTGTGTGTATAAACATGCAAATATATGAGAATTTTATATGTAACAGGTGGCATTTCAAATCATCAGAGAAGAATGTGTTACTCAATAAACAATTCCAGGACTATTACCTATCTGGGGAAAAAATCATGTCCTACTTCACGCTATATATAAAAGTAAATTAGACAGAGGACTTTTACTTCCAGAAAGACAAAGTAGTTGTACTTTTCTCTATTTCTTCAGCTAAGTACAACTAAAATCCCTAAACATTATATATAAAACAAACATTAGAAAACTCTGGAAGGTAAAGAGAATAAGGCAGATCAGCTAGGGAGGGACCTTGGTACCCAAGGAACAACACATTGGCAAATTCCCTAGGTTTTATTTTTGCCTGATATATCACATACTTGGGGCTGAAGATTGGCAACCTAGATACACCATGCGCACAGGCAATAAATGAATGAATGAATGAAAGAATGAATGAATGAATAAATCCAGTGCTCTCTAGTGCTCTCCATGGATCAAAGGGACAGCCTAACAAAACAGAAAACTTTTAGACAATACAATATTGCAGATTTAGTTCCAGACCACCACAATAAAGCAAGTATCGAGTTATAATCTTACTGCTTTGGAGGGTCTTACCTTCAATTTGTAAAAAAATGCATCATCTGATGATGAAGAGCAATAAAGTGAAGTGTAATAAAACAAGATATGCCTAAGAACACTCTACTGTATTCAAACACTACAGAACGGCCCCACCATATCAGCAAAGGCGAAGTAGGAAACTTAGGCTTACTACCCTCGAGAGGCTGTAACAAGGCACCCCAACATCTCTGCCTGGTGGTATAAGTAAAGGCCAGTTAAGGAGCGAGGACTCCTATCCATCAGCCAGACAGAAAATCAGCAAGATATACATGTTTTTCAAGTTCCCATGGAACAAGTACCAAGATAGACCATATCCTGGGCCATAAAACAAACCACAACAATTTAAAAGAACTGAAGTCATAAAGTATGTTCTCTGATTACAACAGAATCAAACTAGAAATCTGTAAAAGAAAAATAACAGGAAAATCTACAAATATTTGGAACATATATGTCTAAATAACTGATGGGGTCAAAGAGGAAGTCTCAAGGGAAATCAAATATTACACCGAAATTAAAATGAAAATACAACTTATCGAAATTTGTAGAACACTGCTAAAGCAATGCTGATGGAAAGTTACAGCATTAAAGGTATACAATTAGAAAAGAGGAAAAGTCTCAAATCAGTAATCAGCTCCTACCTCAAGAACCTAGAAAAAGAGCAAAAGTCAATGAAATTGAAAATAAAGAAAAATCACTGAAAAAAAGAGCTTAGCTCTTTAAAAAAATCTATACAATTGAGAAACCTCTAGGAAGAAAAAAAAGACACAATTAAAAATATTAAAAATGAAGGAGACATACTGCAGACC